CCCGATTGAGGGGGGTCCCCATCTCCAGCCGCTGGTTGTCACTTTGGGACCCCGCTTCCCTGGTGTCCGTTTGCCCACCCTGTGCGGGAGGGTTAGCTGACCAGGGCTTCCAGGTGGCCTGGGAGCCGGCCGCGGTCGGCCACCCTTCTCTGTCCCAGGACATCCGGGGGGTCCTGCCTCTCCAGGTGACAGGCCCAGAGGGCACAGCACTCTGGAGGGGCCGGGAAGAGGGGTGACAGCCCTCACGGGGCGTTGCCTCTCCCCCATCTGCTGGGCCCCAGAGGACAGGCGCACAGGTCTGCCTCTCACCCTGTGCCAGGACCTAGGCTCCGGGCGACCCACAGGCTGCCCCTGCCCCGTGTGGCCACCCCAGCTGGGCGGAGCCCTGTCGTCCGGTCCTGTCTGGCTGGGTGGTTCTGAGGCCAGAAGTGGGTGGACAAGGAGACCTGAAAGGCGGGCAGCCTGGTTCTGAGGCTGGGTGCTGCTGCCACCCATTTTCCCTGTGGGATGTGTAAAGTGAGGGGTGGGGTGGATGGCCTTTGAGGGTTGATTCTGGTGGGGACCAGGCTCAGGAGGGAAAGTCTCTAGCCACATGCCAGGGATTGGAGTGGTCCCTCTGCAGGACGGCCCTGGCCTGGCCAGGGTGTGGGGGCACTGGGAGTACAGCTAGGGGAGGAGTGTGTGCTCTGAGAGCGGGCTGTCCTTGTGGGTTACCCTTCCTGCTCAGGGTAAGGGTACCCCATAGAAGCGGGCCCCCATGCCATGGGACACTGCCCCTGTCCATAGGACAGCTTTTCTTCTCGGGGTGCAGCCCCCACACCCTGCTGTGGCAGAGGGAGCCCAGTGTCTCCACCTCAGGCTCTGTCCTGGCAGACTCTCTAGGGCGCCCCCAGAATGCCGGCCCTGACTTTGGCCTAGTTTGGTCAGTAGGCACCTCCGAGTGGCTATTGTGTGTCTGGCCAGGGGGTGGGTGCAGCCAGAGGACAGGATGCAGCCACAGGACAGGACAGGACAGGACAGGAGGAGGGTCCTGGGCACCCCGGGGATGAGTGCTGGGCCCTGTGACCTGGGCATGAACCTGCCACCTGACCCTGAGTGATCCTCTCGGGAGTGTGGTGGGGACTCTGCACAGAGGCTGGCACAGGCAGGTGGGTGGGCGGAGCTGCCAGAAGTGTCAGTTGTGATGACTCCAGTTTGAATCCAGCTCAGTGGTGTGTCTGAGCTTCCCCCTGGGACTTGTTGCATATCTGAGGTGTGGCGAGTGCCAAACCCCTTCCCCAGAGACGCCCTTACCCCAGCCATCGCTCTTTAATTATCGTGGAGAGGAAGTGCCTCGCTCTTTGCTGTGGTCAGAGGGACATTTGGCAGCTTTTGGCTTGCCTGGGCACCAAGCCCAGCACTCCACTGCCCCCACCCGTGACATTGCAGTGTCCTTGGGACTCTCCTGGATGCTGGGCAGGGATGGGTGAGCTGTGTACACATGCATGTACACACATACATACATGTGCTCATGCACATGTGAGTGCACAGGGCCACATATGCCCACTGCACATGCACACCCACACAGATGCACACATGCACATGGGTGTGAACAGGCACCCCACCCCCAGTTCCTCTGTCAATCATGGCTCTCCAGACTCCTCAGAACATTTGACCTGAGAACGAATGATTGAAGAATGCATCTTAGGAGAGGCACCGAGTCTCTCAGCCAAAGGGGGTGTCCCTCAGTCACACTCTGGGTCCTGGATGGTCAGTCTGAACATTACACACAATGTGGGCTGCTAGGAGGAGCCGGGGGGGGCACTTTCTCAGGACTTCACATGTCAGGCTGAGGAACAGGCCCCTTCCCCGAGGCCTGCCCAAGGACAGGTGACACTTGG